TAGTTGGAATTGTAATATCTTTTTTTATTAAAAGTTTTTTTTTTTGTTGTAATATGTACAAACAGCTGGTATGAAGTTGCCAAAATATCTTTTAAATACAATTAAAACATTCGATTTGGTATGTCAAAGGTTTTCCTCATATAAAAATAAAACTGTGTCTACACACATTTAAATTTATTGTTAATCAAATGAGAAATAATAATCTTCATGAATGTCAAGAAATAAAAACTTAAAAATTACATAAATATATATAAACAATAACAAGGATAAATGAAATATATTATGTTTATTCAACGCTCACATTACTATAATGAGCCCAAGGGACTGAGCGTTTAAAATCTAAATTTTACGGAGAATTTTATTTAATGGTATATTGACGGAATTGAAATAACTTAAAAAAGAGGAAGGGAAGCATGGGATTAGCTCAACGGTAGGTTATTGCAGTGCTTCAGCATCTAATTATGCTGCACTGTCGATCTAACTTGGGCATTTCGTAATCGGTCGTTCGTGATAAATTCTACAGACGATAAGTCTACCGACTATTCGAATCCAAGATCAATTTTTAACCATAAATTACTACCATTAGACGAACAAACGCGTCAAAAAATAAAAATTACTTCCATGATACATAATTTTACTGACAATAAAAAAAAATATATTATTATAGTTGACTGTTGAAGTTTTTATTGTAAGAAAACAGGTTTGCTTGGCCTTTACGGTAGAGCATGAAAGGACAGTATTTTCGAAATGTTTCACAAAATATATTTTGCAATCTTCTGGCCACAGATAATATATGTTTTGTTATATTACAATGTAATCAGTAAAAGTCACAAATACAATAGGTAACCTTTGCAACAAATACTTAAGTTTTATGTGATGAGGCATAACTAATTCGATGGCGCAACATAGTTTGAAGGTAAAATTATTGACCCTTAATTGTCTGTAGAAAAAGTGAGTATTAAATGACGTAACTTACAATGTAAAACCACCTTATTTGTTTTTAACAATGAACCGACGTTTCGAATGGTATACAGCAGGGTATACGGCGGGTCATCTGTTATATTTATCTTTCTTACTGGCTAATCCTTAACTGTAAAATTCACCTTCATGAGGATTCCATTCCGGAAAAATTACAATATCTAGTGAGAACTGGTGTCATAGTTATATATGAAACACTAGAATTTGTATTCAATTTACATTGGAAATACGGAAATATGCGAGAGTGCTTTTAAACTTTACAAATATGTCATTAGATGCTTTTTATAGGTACAAGGAAATATCAGATTGTGAATCCACAATGTGTTTTTTTAACAAATACCTAATAATAGCTTGCATTACAATCTTACTAAGACGCGGTTCTCCGCGCCCTTCTTCCCTTATTCTTCTTCTTATTTAAAGCTTCTTAAAGGCATATTTGAGTTTACCTGTGAAAATATTCAAGTAATTGAGCTGGAGAGAATATCGTTTCGCAAGCCTGGCCTTAATTCGTTCTGTACTTTCTCCATACGTGCAAAGGATAACGGTATTTTTAGCGTCTCAGTTTTTTAATAATTGCAATTTCAGTACACGAGAGAGCATTTTAAATCGAAATAGTAAAGAATTCTTAATCTATACTTTACATAGATTAAGGACTTAGAAATTAGAAAATTACTATTTAATGTCTTTAATAAGATTTGATAAAAAGACCAAGTTTTCATAACTAACGATTCATTTGAAAAAGGTCATTCACCTACCATTTATATGAGGACTCCGTATTTTTCTCATTAGTAAATACAACAATGAAACTATGGAGAAGTAAACAATAGACTTCTATATTTTAATGAATTTCAGAATCTTCATGATTCAGAGACGTTTATTCAATATAAGTAGTGCCATATATGATGAGACTCTGATGTTTACTATTTTGACAACTTAATTATTTGTGACATTTTATAATACACTAGCTGTGTCAGCGACTTCGTCCGCGATCTTTATTTGGGCATCCAAATTCGTTTTTGCAAACCCCTTCATCTTTATAAACTTAAGCTGTGTGTATCCACGACGTCGTGGTCCTTTCCCGTCGTTATTGCAAGTTAATCTTAAAAGATAGACATATATCGTCGCGGACTTTTTTTTAATCATAAAAAGAGGAATCATTCTTTCATTATTTTTTGGGTGTCTTGAACCATAATGATGAATAATGTTCCCAATTTTTGACACATTTCTCGCTGCATCTTCGCTTGTATTACTAACAGGGCATGTTTTGTAGTATTCCTCGATAAATGCTCTAACCAACACAGGAAGAATTTTTCAATTCGAACCGGTAGTTTCTGAAATATGCGCGTTCAAACAAACAAACTCTTCAGCTTTATATATTAGTATACATAATGACATCCTTCATATTGATAGATTTCGAAGTTGTACTGACTGCGGATAAACTACACAATATACATGCGTAGTCTTTGAAAAATAATATCGTCTGTACACAGTGAATTGACAAACTGTTATCCACAGACTATAAGCAATCTATATCAATTATAGCTGAGGTTTTTATAACGATCACTATGGATAGATTTCTCACAACATATCCTGCTTTTTATATGCATTTCGTTAGCCAATATACAGTTTACCGCAAACTCAACCTTGACACACAAAGTTCAACAACTTGTTTATAAGGTTTCGTAACTTTTAGACTCATATCTCTAATTAATACGTCTCGATAGTCGATGTGCCAAGTCGTCCTTTGTAATGTTTAAATATATATTGTCAACTAACGGATTTCTCAATTGCGCGTGCGCATTTCGGGAGTCTTAGAAATAATAGGTGTAAAATTGTATTATTTAGGACGACGTCGTTCGCGTAGGATATTAATTTTGTTTTTTTCTCAACCTCCTCAGTTTTATACATTATAGATCCACGACGTCGTCCACGTCCCGTCGTTCTTGCGTGTCATTCTTAAAATATACTGAAAACGTTTTTTTTTAGATCATTTTAAGTGGAATGACTTAATCAATATTGGTTCTTAAACCGTTTTCGCTGCACACGCAACGACAGCCCTCAAAAATGTGTAATTTTGTCACATTTTCCATTGTTTCCCTTCCATTTGTCGCAGCGTTTTTAATTTGAACCTAGATTCCAGAGATTAGCGCTTTCAAGCAAACCTACTCTTCAACTTTATAATATTAGTATAGATGAAATTTGCAACCTAAGAGTAATACTTATTATGTATCTTTCTGCGCTAGTGCAATTGGTTTCGACTTCTGGCAAAAGCGTAGATTTTTCAATTATAGCAGTTGTCATTTAAGTTACAGGTAACAAAATTTATATTAAAACACACATTTGCCTAACGCCCTGTCTGTATCGTAATCGTGAGTAAATTGTAAAATATGTAATTCCTTATCGTCGCTGTTAATTTTTTATCTCTTGTGGAAATATCGCGCAACGAATTCTAACAATGTTACCCGCATATCAACCTTGCCGCCTAGGAATATTGCTTTTAGTCAACGAAAACAAATCTAGTTAGCTGTAATATTTTACTTCTTGACTTTTATTTTTTACTCTTTTCGCCGCCGCTGTGGGCCGAAAATAAAAATCACTAGAGGTCCTGAGTTCGAATACCTTATTTAATATAGTACTGTCTATAGTTTACGCGAATAGTACACATTTAAATAAATCACTTTAACGGTTTAAAACGCGAAATATTACTTAAACTTATTTGAAAATGATTTTTAACTTAGGCCCAACGTTTCGCATGCTTTGCAGCAGCCGTGGTCACCGGGAAACGTCGGTCATTTTCAAATAAGTGTAACTAATATAGCGCGTTTTCAACCGTTAAAGTGTTTTATTTAAATACCTTATTTAGTTTAATTTAGCTGTAAATAAATACAATCAGTAAAATGCCACAAAGAAATGGACTTCAACTTTTATTTTATCCATAACGACATTTGGATCGCTTATTTTTCTACCAACATTAGAAAATTCTTGACTGTAAATATCAAGTTTACGTTCTTTACCCACTGCTAAGTGGTTCTCATGAAACACTGTCAGTTTTAATATATTTTGCGTTTTTAACAGTTAAATTCTATTTATTCAATTGACTTAACGTCTTCTAAGCAAGTTCGTATAACGGTTTCCATCGATCAATTATAATTAAGATTCTTTCTATGGGCCTATGATAAAGTGGTAACTGACACTAGTTTTAACTAAATGTAAACAAAAACTGTCTCACATGCTCTGTGTGACATGCGAGTTCAATAAACGCTTGCTAATACCGTTTCCGTACTGTTTGGAAATGTACATTTGCATACAATTGTATTGATAACGGTAATTTATCCAGCTCCTTTCAATATTTGAACCTCTTGTTATTGCCTAGTTTCAAATAGCTTTAATTTATGGCTTAGGTTCATATCTTCTCTTTTAATATATTGATGTAACCATCGAAAGTATATAACTACGTTTAAATAAAACACTTTCCAGAACGTCGGGTCGTAATTCAAATAATTTTCAAATGAGTTTAACTAATAGGTATATATCACGTTTTAAACCGTTAAAATGTTTTATTTAAATGTGTACTACTCGCGTAAATTACAGACATTATATGACTACGTTTCTTATCAAATACAAACGTAAACGGCATATAGTATGTTAAATAATTATTATAATTATGAAAACAATTATAAAGCAAACATTTATTGTACTTTATTTGGATTAGTCTAATGTCATACTTATGTATAGTGAGGGAATACCCTTCTTTCCTTGTGGGGGCATAGGGCCAACACACACAGTTTCACTGATCTGACAACTACATAACTAAGTTTATGCGATTAAATTTTTCTCCGGTATTTGAACCTAAGACTCCCGTGCTGCCATCTCTATTAAGATGGTCATACTTATAAATAATTCGATATATTTATTGGTGTCATTCCAGTTTGTCTTGAAGGATTTATATAATATCGGAATAATTAAGAAAACTTATTATTAAAAAAATCTCTATATATTTCGATAAACCTAATACGATGTATCTATGATTCCAGACCCATGCATATACATCCTACGGTTCGCATCCCAACTCCAGTTCGAGGAGAAGCAGCACGAAGTGAGCATGACCGCGCTGCGTCTGGTCCAGAGGATGAAGAGGGACTCCATACATTCGGGACGTCGACCCTCCGGGATTTGTGGGGCTGGTGAGTTTCTGATTGCTGAAGGACCTCTAGAGGCAGAGGAGCCCCCCCCCCAATTTTTCCCTTTTTTCCTGGGGCTTTAATTTTACAAGTTAAGCCAAACATGGTAATTCATGTTTTATGACACCGAAAACGGTTATTGTTGTTAAGCCCCCCCCCCCCTGGGCCCGGGGGCCCCCTAGGGCCCCCCCCCCCCCCCCCCTTTTTTTTTTTTTAAAGAGAACTTACAATCATTGGATTCGTGTGATGAAAGGTGGAATACCTCAATCCTATAACATCTAATTAACATGCCCTGTCGGCCCATTGTTGTATTGGAATATGGATTTAATTAAAACTTTAGGAAGTTTATAATATATTGTGTGTACAACAATAACTTTTCATAAGCCAGAAATTTCTCAGATATTTTAGAATAGTTATTCTTATATAATAATAAATACCAACACAGTTATTCAATGGTTGCTAACAAGAAACATTACTTAAGTAATTATTATCTTAAATTGTTTATCACGAACCGTCGCGCTTTGTAATGGGACTGCAACTGCAAATTATTCAGCAAACATCTCTATTCTAATATTATAGAGCTAAAGAGTTTGTTTGTCTGTTTGAACTAATCTAAGGAACTACTGGTTAAAATTGAAAACTTCATTTTGCCCGCGACAGTTTAATCTACCTTTTAAGATGAACTCGCGAATTTACGGAACGCCATCGACGTCGTTGGTAACAGCTATAACTAATAAATATGAAGTTTGAAGAAAAATGCCTAAAATATCTATTCTACGCGGAATAAGTCGCTGGCACAGCTAGTTAAATATCGTATTTTAAACGTTTGTTAATAATATCAACGTGATAAGTGTTAATATTTGTTTTATAATCTTGGAAATTTACTTTAAGTTAGGGGTTGTCCATTAAGCACGTGATATTTTTTTTTTAATTTTTTAACCCCCCCTCCCCATTGGTGAGACGTAGTGAGGTTTAAGACAACCCCCCCTCCCCCTTCTAAACATCACGTGTATTTTTAGTACCTACAAAGAATCTTAAAATTTTCTGAATATTATCTTAATTTAAATACAGGTATAGACTATAATCTTATTTTATTCTGAAATTAAAGACCATAATAAAAATGTCTACACCATTTGTTTAAAAATCGCGCGTTTGACGAACGAAAAATTGAAATTGAAAACGAAAAAATAAATACACGCGATATCTTACTACACCCCTTACTACTTACCCCCCCCCTTGTGTTATTTTCGTGATTTTTTTTTAAATCCCTCCCCCCCCCCTTTCAAGCCTCACGTGATTAATGGACGACCCCTTACGGGATGATTAAAGCCGTAAATTTAAATCCAGTTTCGGTTGCAATCCGTATGATTTCCAAATATTTAAAGCCAAAAGTTGACTACCTTGTTCAGATCACTTACCATCAAGTAAACTTCATGCTTGTCTGTCCTCTTCTAACATAAAAAAAAAACCCTCTTAACACAGTGTGAATCGAATTTACTTAAGTAGTATAAGTTTAAATAAAAGACTTTAACTGTTTAAAACGTGATATATTCGTTTTTTTTTAATGATTTTTAACTTTACGGGGAGATGGGGAAACTAATATATCGCGTTTTATTTTAAACCGTTAAAGTGTTTTATTTAAATGTGTATAACTCGCGTAAACTATAGACAGTGTCTGGTAGTATAAGATGTAGTATCTGTTAAAGATTTATCACACCGATTATTAATATTTTATTAATTATATGTTTCAATATAAAAGCATAATACTCCATTTAATTACAGCTCTACTCATAGCGGCTAGACTTCACAACTTCTCCCGAACCCCCTTTGATGTGGTGCGCATAGTAAAAGTGCACGAAAGTACGCTGCGCAAGCGCCTTTTAGAGTTCGGTGATACGCCATCTAGTGCTTTAACGCTCGACGAATTTATGACGGTAGATTTAGAGGAGGAACAAGACCCGCCTATATTTAAAGCGGCGCGGAAACGAGATAAGGAAAGGTTACAAAAGGTCAGTAAACATTTAGCATTATTTGTATGTTCATACAATGTAGTTATTTGTATGTATGCACGTGTACATACAAATAATACGTACGTTTTATAACTGTGATGTATTTAATTTGGTGTATTTCTTTCTTCTCTCTTTTGTCCAATATAAGTATGTGTATCTATTGCTGAAGCGACGTAGTAAGTAGTAATAAGTTCATTTATAATCTTGTTCCAAAGCTGTATTTAAAGCTAAGACCTGTTAAATACATGTTACATGAAGAAGACGCCATTAAATACCCCGTTTTCATTCATTTCATCTTAGTAAAATATTATCTAACCGTTACAGCTAATGGAAGAAGAAGATGGCGAGAAGGAGTTAACAGAGCTGCAGAAAGAGATAGAAGTGCAGCTAGAGAGAGATCACAAGAGACGGAGGAAAATGCCGAGTGATGCTTCCATTCTGACACCTGGTAGTGTTGGTAAAATAAAAACAAATACATATAATAAATGTTTAAATAAAACTTTTTATGCCACCTATGTTGGTTATAACATGGCGCACAGTTAAGTGTATTTACCGAGTCGAGTCTTATAGCGTTGTCCTTTTCCCACAATCACCAATAAAGAACAAAGACACAATCGTCTGTGACCGTCACACACCAAAACTCAATTGGGGTCGTGTCACGTTGTTTTAAAAAAAGGTGTATTACCCCAGCCTATATCTGAACAAAATGCATTGTCGACCTGTTTTGAATTTGGATATTCGAAAATCCACAGTCTGGATTCGAAACGTGATTAAACTTCACTGCTTTTCATCTGTGGACGGTGCTTCGCGATCCCGATGGAATTTCGATATTCCTACCACGCTTTTAATATGGAAATCTGGTTCCAGTATGTTTTGGAAATATCATATATTGAAAAATTATAAAAATTTTGGATCCGGTGGTAATCGAACATTCAGCTCGTTGATATTAGCCTTACGATGCTACCATTGCACCAGCGAGCCCGTCAACTTACATGAATAACTATTATTGTTCTGAGTTGCAGACGATGTTAATGAAGACGACGAGGCAAACAGATTTACGGAAGAAAAGGCGATCAGTATTATTGGAGAACTCACCAAGTCGGTCTCGAAGGAGCAGCAAGACGTTGAAGAGGGTGATGAGGATAGGGAATTAGGTGGGTAGTTTTATATTTTTGTATTGGAGCTTTCGTTTATAATTGAAACCTTAAATATTATATGATTAGTTAATTAATTTAATACTATTTAGTAACACGGCTACCTATGTATTACTAGCTGTGCTAGCGACTTGTCTAGAGGTTTTTTGGACGTCAAAAATGTACTTCTGCAAACCTTCTTCTAATTTATAAAATTCATGCTCCTCCGAAACGGATTGACCGATTTTGATGATTTTTTTTGTGCTTATCCGGTATCTATGAGAATCGGCCAACATCTATTTTTCATCCCCTTAAATTTTATTTTTTATTTTTTAGACAAAATATTTAATTTCTATTTTTTTTTATTGTACAACATACACAAATACTTACAATCCTCAATTTTCACCCTTCTACGATCAACCCTTATTTTTTTTTGAAATTACTAGGAAATTATTTATACGGGAAAACAACGATCGCCGGGTCAGCTAGTATCTTTATAAATAGTAGCTGTTACCCGCGACGTCGTTCGCGTCGGTCTTCGAAGTTAATTCTAAAAGATAGACATGTATTGTCGCGGCCACTTTTTTAGATCAATTAAAGAGGAATCATTCTTACATACATATTTTTGTGTATATGGTCGCAGGGTGATGTTGTATATCCTAAAGCTTACCTCGATGAACCAACACAAAAGACTTTCTATCCAACCCGATAGTTCCTGAGATAAGCGCTTTTAAACAAACAAACTGTTCAGCTTTATAATATAAGCATAGATTAATAACAAAGAAAAAAAATATTAATTTATTCTTATACAAAGACTTCATTGAAATGGCATATAATATATAATAGGACTACAATGGCTTACTTTGTGTTATAATTCTTTAAATAAAATGTAATATTGAATCAATGTTAAACGCAATTCAAACTATTTGTATGTATATATATATGTATCCTAATGTAGCTAACATAATGTGATCAAATAACATCAATGTGAATAATGGCTTTAGCTTTGTATTTTTTCATATTTATTAATAAAAATAAATTATACTTCAGGGCCTGAAAAGGCAGTAATCGGCGTGCCTCACCCACAGCCAGGCACAGCCAAGGCAGACCCATTTTTAAAGCCGGAGCCGAAGAGTCAATTCAACAGCAACATACACGATTCCGAAGAACTAGTACTTAGCGATAAAGATGAGGAGTACTTGAACTCTCTCATCATGACCCCGGATGAAGCCAGGCATAAGACGAAGATGTGGAACATGGTAAATGCTGGATATCTTCAAGAGCAAAAAGGTTAGCCAAGGCTTTTTAAAAAACTCTTTTTTTATCCATTGTTCTTGTGCCTATTGCTTAAATAAATTACAATCGGGAGTAGTGAAAAATAAAAAAAAAACTGATAACACGCACAAGAACACATGTAATTTACATAGTGAAATTCCGTTTACCCTGGTGGACGTGGGGCGAACACATTTCTCTATCCGTTTCACTGATCGGTTCTTCTACAGACAGGTACAATTTTTATTGATGGTGTCCACAAATAGAAGCCGTAAAGTTTAATCGCGTTTCGTTCAGTCTGTAGTTTTCCGGATATCCAAAGGCAAAATTGGTCGACAGCCCATCTTGCTTAGATGTTAGTATTATTATTATGTATGTCTAGGGTTTACCTCCCATCAAGTTAATCCCATGCTTGTATTTAAAAAAAATATATAGCCAGTGTTCATTTTAGCCTGAAATACTATATTTGCCTTCGTTGTTACATTTTTATATTATGTATTGCAGTAAAAGAAGAACTGCGCGCCAAAGAACGGGAAGAAGGCAAAGACAAAAAGAAGAAGGTTCGGGGCTCCTATAGGAAGAAAGGCATTTGCAACGCGGCAACAGCTGGTGAGGCTATAGGCAAGATGCTGGCTGAAAGAAAAATGAGCTCCAAGATCAATTACGATATTCTCAAGAGCTTGGACCAGCCAGGGGCGTCTATACCGGCTGCGGCTACTGATGAAGCCAAATCTCCTGTTAAGAGTGATAGGTTAGTAATAAGTACATATGTTAATATTACAAAGCTGAAATTTTGTTTGTTTGTTTGAACACGCTAATCTTAGGAACTACTGGTTCGATTTGAAAAATCATTTTTTGTTTCGGCCAATAGGGACGAAGAAAGATTGAAAGATGGAGAAAATTATTCATTTTTGAGAGCTTCTGAGCGCTCGGAAGCGTTGCGCAAACGTGTTTAAGAAACCAAAAATATATTTTGAATGATTCATCTTTAAATGAATCTAAAAAAAATGTCCACAATATTAATACAGTAGTATTACATATCACATTATGTTATTTGTAATATTAATTTGCAAGACACACTATTCTACTCGGACGAAGTCGCCGGCACAGCTAGTTTAAGGTATAGGACTTCAGGTGAGGTAAGGTATAAAAATTGGGAGGATCTTTGATGTTAATCTCTGTTGGTCTATACAAATGAAGTCTATTTAGATTAATGATTTATTAAAATAAGTGTTACGCTCAGCCTTCAACATATTTGTTTAAGCTTCATGGTGTTAAAACATGGAATCTTACGTATATGTTGAAGAATATGTATTTTTTATATTTTACATTTTTTTTATATTACACAGTTCCAAACCAGAGGTGGCATCAGAGAGTAAAATACCCGGTCCTCCTGCTCCCAAAAAACGTAAGAAAAAGGCAACACCGAATCTTGCATCCAACAGTACAGCAGAGTCTAAAGAGACCACTCCCGTACCAAGCCCCGCCCCTGCGACGCCTGTACCTAGCACGCCTACGCAGAAGGAAATAGGTTTGTTATATAATAACCTTTAAAAGATCTGATTTTAAAGATCTTTGACGTTGGTTCGTTGGTCTCATGGCAGCAATGTGTGATTAATCAACAGGCCGTGGGTTTGATCCTGACTGGGCCAATATTTTTTGAATAATGGGACTTGGTGTGGATTAAAACCAAAATATAAAGTTAATCCTTCGGGCTCAATAGTAGATTTCTGAATATCCAAAGCTAAAAAAGGTGACAGCTAGATGTGTTAATGTTATCGACTGGCACGTTTTGTCAAGTCAACCCTCATCTATCCTCCTCTTTTAAAAAAGTACGCATTCGATCTGTTTTTCTGCTAATTTTTCACAGATAATAAAGACATTTCTGCATTCACTTTTGTAAGCAAGACATTTCATTGAAGGAAACACAGAGATGAGATTTACTTTATAGAAAGTAAAAATGTATTACGATTGCGCTGTACGGTTTTTCCCCATTGATTTCAGAAACGATCTAATATAATGTTTGACCTTGTGGGAATCGAATGATTAACATGTTATTTATGATTACGTATAAACCCATCGCTAAACAATAATATTGTTATTTTACAGAAGTGCAAGACTACGATGACGATTTGGAGGGCGAGGTTGATGCAGTCGAGAACGACACTGAACTGTCTTTAGCCGCCATGTTGCAGAATCAACAAGAAGACGACTATTATGGTTATGATGAATATTAATATTGTTATTTGTATGCGTACCAAGGGCGGGGAACTAGATTTGGGAGGGTAAAATAATAATGGTTAAGTCAAAGACTTATAATTTAATTCTGTTAACAACAGATACAAGTGAAAACTTGTACTGTACTTAAAAAATACCTTCTTTATGGTTCATTAGACGAACTAAACTCAAATCAATATGTTCAATCAATGGTCCACCTAAGTACTGGAACCAGATCGTGATTCTCCCCTCCCCCCTCCGTTGGACTCGCCGTTGATGTGTTGGGATTTGGTTGTAATTTAAAGTCGAAATTTTGTCGATATAGATCTCACAGCATATGCGTTTCGTTCATTTTTGCTACATTGTAAATGTAGTATCGTGAGGTTAAAGTAATATTAATATAATCCTGTATAGTGCGGAAGCACCTGCGGTCTAAATAAAACACTGTAAACGGTTTAAAACGCGAAATATATGAGTTAATTTATTTATATTACACTGACCGTTTTAAACCGTTTTATTTTAGAGTGTACTACTCGCGTAAACTACAGATTATACTTCCTACGGTCTGTTTATTATAAGTATGTACATATATATATATTTATGTTTTTGCCAAATGTTTGTATATTTTTGTTATAATTTAAATTGCTTGGACACATAATTATAGAATTCTAGTATTATTTTTGAATTAAGTACCTATAATAAGTTTTATGTCTTGAAATAGTTTTGTTTAAATTTAATTATTGGTTAGTGGCATGGTAAGTAAAGATAAATTTCTCTTGGGAGATGATAATTGTCATCTGAGAGTATTAACTTTTAAGTAATTTAATAATTTAAAATTCAGTAATTCATTTAAATTATTTATTTGTATGTAAACAATAATAACTTGTAATCAAATAAAAAAATAAATTAGTAGGAACTACACTATTTTACAGTAATGACTATTATAATGAACTGTGGAGAGTTCCTAGTTGATAACGCCATTGTCATATTCCCTTACTTATACAATTTTCTTACAAAGATAGAACGATAAGTAATAATAATAAACATGTACCAGATTTGTTAGACTGATTTGGCTTGAACTGTAGATATATTTAATTCGAATTTATTTGAGACTAGGTAGGTTTATTGTTTAGACAATTTTATTTTAAACCCTTAATACCAGTTTGATAGTTAACGAAAATGATGAAAGTATCACATTGTGGCCATTATTTTGTGTACTTAATATTGGAAATTTAAATTGGTTCGTCATTTTCGCAACAACTAACAACCTCGTACTAGATCATATTACTACCTTGATTTGGAGTTTGCCCCATTTTGTTTTTAATTTGACACAGGTAGGACTTGAACCTGCTACTTTTGTACGATAATGATTCTCTGCTCTGCGAGTTCCAGGAAAGAAAAACTCATACCACCATCAATTGAAAGATCTATTTTTAAGAAACTAAGCAAGTACAATTTTAAATATTCCTTTGAATTATTTAACAATCCTTTTACATTGTACCTATATAAATTAATTTATTACATCTTACTATGTAAAAAAAGTATGTAAGATATTAGCCTGATTTGAGGATATATCATGTGTTTGTTTATTTACTTGATTGTCAAATGTATTTAAGGACATGCTCTATAGTATTTACATTATGTAACCGCTATTTAAAGGAATTACATATGCCCTTTATGGAATTAAATACTTTCTTTTAATTATAACATTTACTGCATCACCCATATAAATAAAACATTTAATCAGAACACAAGTTCAAACCTGACATCGTTACGCATAATATAAAATCATGCTGCAATCACTAACGCTACGTTTTGATTTGGATACCTAAGTGAACTTGTCCTGACTTGCCAGCCACCTCAATCCTCTATGTCACAGTACTCAAACCAAAGAATTTTATTTCAAGGAAAATTTTCAAGCTAAGCAGTTGTGCACATTTTTTATGACGGGCAAGTTCGTTTGTTATGTGTTTTGTTGTGTTATGTATTTTTAATAAAATATAATGGGTTACATGTGTCATAAAGATGAAAGGAAAAAGAAATTAGTGACAAATAGACAAGTGTTAATGTTGAAAGTGAAAGTGTATATTAAGAATTCCTATCAGAATTTCCCATATCAAATGTTATATTGTCCTGTAGAAAGACTATCAAGAATTGTAAGGTAAGTCTAAAGAATTTTTGGTTACGTTATATTTAGACCTTTATATCAGGACCTTTTTCACCATTCAATAAAATTGTTTTGTTTCTGTTTAAAGATTTATTTTATTACGGATTTTTTTTTTTTTATAATTTCTTCGTAGTATATTCTTTAACTTAAACTAAGGAATACTTTAAAATTATTACTGTACTTAATATACAGGTTATATACAAAAAATTATACATGTATATTTTTGATGTTAGCAACACTGACCAGTCGGTTGTCAAATGAGAAGGAATCATGGCGTCTGTTTGATCTGTTAGTTCTTATTCATTCAGTGGCTCGCTCATTCATCTTTTCCGACTTATGATCTGTCAGTTGAAGTCAGTTCACTGAAGTTGTCTCAAAGCGGACAAACAGTAGAATTGTGTTTACGAATATAAGATTTGATTATCGATAAAGATCAAACGATTTGTTTTATGTCTGTAAATGTGCGGAAAACGTGGCGCGTGTTAAGTTATTAAGTTACGGTGAATAACGAAAGCTACGGTATCTGACAAATACATGTTTTGTAAAGTGAAGTGTGCGTATTCCAGGGTCAGTGGTATAATGAAGAGCAGTGTTTTTATCGCTTTTTAGCGATGTGTGAATTAATTAAATTGATTTGATGGTGTTTTTATAAATTCATGGTGTTTCTTAAGTTGTTGGTGTTAGAAAAGTATATCGCAAATCATAGGTTCCACAACCGTGCAGGCGGATTCTACCATGGTCGTAAAACGGTAAGTCCATAAATACAACGTGGATTGTTACGGTAAATGCTCAGTTTGTATCGTAAAAACGTTTAAACACGAACGAGGATGTATTTTAAAAATAAACTTGTTGAAAAAGTCGTGGATTAAAGGTCTAGAATTCTATAAAACTGTATGTTTACATCGCGTCGTCACAGCTCATACAAATGTATAATTATATGTATGGTTGTTCGATGTTTGAACCTGTTTGTTTACGTTTTTGGTATAAAATCTGGGAGTTAGGTTGATATTTTGAATGTAGGGTACATTTGTGCTTGTATTTACAGAAAATCACGTTAAAATAAACTGTTATACGATCATAATGTACTTAATACAATATGCGTGTTTTACATTTGACCCACCTCCATTGTTCTGCATTTTGTGTTTCTTATCTCACAATAATAGTTATAGAAGATGCTACCTTTGTTTGGATTTACATTATTGATTGTTTTGTTCTGGTATTTAATAATAATGATTACTAATAATATTCAAATTGAACAGATTTATATTGTTTAAAACATTCATTCTTCAATACAAATGTGAGATAAAAAATAGAAATAACAAAATGGATATTTTTTAAAATTTAAAATGACAATAGTTTAATAGATATATCTGTCATAGAATAATTTAGCCACTGAATTTTGTGAATTTAATTATTATAATATATTATGTTTCTGATTTGTGACACAAATTTAAAATAAAGACTAAAATATATAAATGTTATAGGTAAGTCCTGTTTGAAATAAACAACAATATTAAACTCATGTGTTTAAAGACAGTACTCATATCTATTTCGCTTGAAAGATTAACAATGTGAATATGATATTCTGTTATTATGCTACAGTTCACTTAGTGTGAAACAACTTAGCTACACTTATTGTTGCATAATGCAAACAATATTTTCTATACAGCTTTAAATAACTGAAGCCATAGTATTGCGTAAATGAAATTATTCCGAGTTGTCGAAAGATATACAAAGTTGATGTGCATTATATATTAAATTAGTAATGCAAGTCGTCTAACTGCCTCATTGGTCTAGTGGTGAATTCAATGAAATGCAGATCACAGCGGACCCAGGTTCAAGTCATTGCGATCAGATGAATGATATTAAAAAAAATAGTAGTACCCATTTAGAGTTTCGAAAAGGAGGTGTGTGACTTCTGTGCCTCTAAAAGGATTGTATTAGTTTAGCATTTAGACTCTACATCGAGGTTGTACTTAGTTCAGTATAATTTGAAATAATGTGAGTGAAAGAATGTGGTGGAATGGTTTTGTAAAATTTGTAACAAGTAAAGGGTATGTAACTTGTTGAATTATAACCTCTTTACCTAAATAGCTTTACATAAAACCTCTGTTTTTTTGGATGTTACAATATTTAATATAACAAAAAAACATACTACATTTATCTATCTCAACTTTATTTAAACTAAATTGATAGAATTTTACTATTTATTCTATTGTTTCATAATACATATATAATATTAGGTAGGTCTATCTAAGTGACAAACCTTTAATAGAAGGTAGTTTTATGACAAATCGTAAAATCCCGTCAACGCGGACTTTGATAAAAGGTCATAGTACACTTAAAAGATTTTTATTATTAATGCAATGATCAGATACAATATGAGGTAGTCACCGTATCTTCTGCGTTCTTATTGCATTACATATTTCCGTAATTTGAAACTCTATCTCATACATATTGATTTAAAGAAGTGCTATATTATATATTTAGATTTTAAACGAAAATTTTGGGTGACTTCAAAGAACCAAACAAGAGGGCTTTATAACAATACTATTTTTTTTAATTCTAGAAGATATCATATCTATGTTAAACAGTCTTTGTAATAAGTACATATTTGTGATTTGTTAAATTTTTAGATTGTTGTGTTACAATTATTAATTGTAATTTTATTACAGTACTCTGTGTAAGCTTTATTATATTATTTAATAAATATATCATATTATAAACATTTTTTTTCATTTTTTTTTAAGATTAAAAAACAACCATGGGATTCCTAGTGTACACCTAAATGCCCCCCCAGCCAGCCTATCTAAACAAGATATCGACCTATTTTGACTTTGGATATTCGAAAATCCACAGATTAAAACCGAAACGCGATTAAACTTGACGGTTTTTTCATCTGTGGACGGTAGTTCATGACCCAAACAGAATTTCCATATTTCTACCGCCTATTTAATATCCAGACGAAGTTCAACTTTCACAAAAAATTGTAGAACACGGTCGGACCCCATGACCCGTTAATAATTACCTATAACATAACACCACGAGCTCATCAAGAAAATAAATAATTATAGATATTTATAAGTATGAACCTATTTATGTTTTGAATATTTTTATAAGCTAACACGTGAAAGATAATGTTTCAAGCGTAAACTCGTGTTCCTAAGTACAGGGATAGTCAGGAAAAATGACAGTGGGCGTTTTTTTTTTAACGCCGCTTGTCCCATTAAGATTTCCGCTCGCGTGGGTCCCTCGCACCTGCCCTTTCCTCTAACGGACACCTGCGCGGCAGATGTTGCTGTAGCCTTAGTCCCTAATGCAATATTGCGAACAGCTGATATTGCGTTAGAATTGCCAAAGGTGAAATAAGGCTGTTGGTGTGTTTTATAGGACATAGACTTAGGTACAGTCAATGCTAGTAGAATAAAAAAATAACTGTGGACATATTTTTTTTACTTTTATTAGACGTTCATGTCGTTAATTTCCGTATTCTCTTGTCGATACAATAGTACATAACAGTCACAATTATTATAGCTCAAAAAAAAATACATTTATTGTCTCTGCCATTCCTATAGATAGGTATGGCAATTTTTTTTTGTAAACACGTGTTGCGCCTAGGTTGTTGTCAAAAATGAAGTTAGTGATATATTTCATGTTTTAGACTGTTAAAAATGTTTTATTTGTATACGTACCATAGTAGAGAACAGACTACTTTATATCTTTAATATTTACGCCGCTTAAAAACGAATACATATTTGAGAATAATTATAATATTACAGTATTTACAAAGGCAAGATCCTAAATGTCTAAAACGCCCGAATCGATATAGATACACCCTGTACTGTAATTGTTTTTTCGAAGTAGTGTTCGTCCCATAAATTTTTCAATAAGCAATTAAATTCCCCTTTATAGTGGCACACGCCTGGCGCCGGTCGCATCTTCATTTCATTGTGGGTTGGGAGTCGGCTATTCAACAACCCACAGTCTCTATCCAATATTATATGTGAGGCAAATAAAATTACAATAACTGTTCTGTCAGCAAATTACATAAAATGTCACAATGTATCCCAAATTATTCTTTAAAATCATCAATCGACTGTAGCGCCATCTAAAACAGAAACCGCGAATGAAAAACGAAAATTCACTTTTCCACTGCAGGACAGGGCGATTATTTCACTTTTAACCTTTTTTTTCCAGACTTGTAAGAAACTAGCTAGGGCCCCGACGACCGAAAGTTTTTACAATTTTTCCTAGTGTTCTAACATATTATGATCTTATACGCGTTCTGTACTGACCTACACCGACGGTGCGTCGTCAGAAGACTATACAATAAATTATACAAGCCTGCTAGAAGCAGAGTGGCCTAATAACAGAAACAAAACATATATTCAATAAGGAGGAAAATACAAATGCGAAATTAACTTAGGCGAAAACGAATTTTTACTAGCTGTGTAAAAATTATGTTAACAATATTCGGTCACTGTGTTAATGTAGATTAACATTTTTAGTCTATGAAAATATAAATAACTCAAGTCGTAAAATTTCAGTTAGGCCACATTGCCTCTAGCCACCTCATATAAGCTTCGCGTCAAATAAATATGTACTTTAGCTTCTTCAATATAACGTAATTAATTTAATTAACTTGTAGGGCAACAGTGCATTTTTTTTAAGTATTTGTTAAAAACTTAGGTTGAACCCGTACTCAGAACAGAATCTTGTAATACACATTTCACATGTATCATGTCTGGGTTTAATGACCTCTCCGCTGGCCTCGATATTGCAGCCGAATACTAAATTATGATACGACTTGGTTTTATACTTTTCAAACTGTTTTTTGAGGAAAATATAGTGACTCGGGTCGGTTTTACATACTAGCAGCGACAGGACTTCCACCTAGAATAGTTGACTTGGACATCAAAATTGGTTTTTCTAAACCTCCTTATCATCTTTATAAATTATATTTGTTACCCACAACGTCGGTCTCGTCCCGTCGTTCAACGAATATATAATAATCTAGTATATATAATAAAGATATAATAGTGTCGGGGGACATTATTTTAAATCAATTTAGGAGAACGAATTCTTTAATACTTACACATTTGCCACTCTTGCTTCGTTCCTATTGGTCACATCGTGATGTTTTATAGCCTATAACCATCCTCGACAAAATTCTTAAACCAAAATAAAAATAATTTTCACGTTAATTAACTTTTTCAATTAAGAAACAAACAAACTCTTCAGCTTTATAAGCATATTAGTATAGATAGATGGAAATTCAATAAAGTACCTAGTTTTAAGTACGCAGGCACCGAACATACATGCATATTTAAGACAGCTGTTTGGGCTGTTGAATTATTCACCTAAATATTCAAAAAATAATATCTCATAAAATAAACCATTTATAAATTGAAAAAAAAATATATATATATACGACTCGGGCAGGACTTGAACTGGCATCTACAGCGTTTCGTGCTGTTGCTCTAACCAATTGAGTTACCCAGTCATACCGAGACTAATGTGGATGCCGGTTGCATGCCCTGCCCGAGTCGAATTTTATTTTTAATTTATATAGTGCCATCATGTGCAATAATGTGTGAAAAATTTTAAAGTTTTCAAATATCTTATATACATTATGTAATAACTTGTATATATTACGCCCTTATAGGCCATATATGTTAACAATGCTATAATTATAAGAAGGTTTCGATATTAGTATTTATCGCGTGCAGAGTTCAATTGTTGCTATAAC